TTTATCTGTGTCCTCAAGGCCATCTGAGTAATGCAAATGGGTTTAGAGCCTTGACTGGAAATAGATAATGTCATATCCCTCCCCCTCTGTTGAGAGAGGGCTATTCAATTTTGACATAGATGGCCTCTTTCAAACCAGCGGTCCTCTCTGTCCAAAATGTGGACTTTGCTGTTCTCAAAAGAGTGGTCTTTGTCTTCTAAATGCAGATAAACTGAATCTTGTCCTGGTAGGTTTGCTCTCCTATCTTGTGCATACATTTATGAAGTGGTTGTTTTATTTCCCCAATACACAGATCTGCACATGTCTCACTGCATTGTACTGCATATACCACGTTGCTTAGTTTGTGTTTGGATGTTTTATCCCTGGGATGGACAGACTTCTGCCTTAGTGTATTCTTGGGTTTAAAGTATGCATGTATATTGTGTTGGCTAAAGATCCTCATGAGCTTTTCAGATATTCCTGCAACATATGGAATGACAACATTGCTTCATTTATTGTTCTCAGGAGTGCCTGCTGGGTCTTTTTGGGGATTTGATGAAGGCCCAGTTGGGATGGCCACACATTCTAAGGCTTCTTGATGTGTTTTTTTTTCTTTCTTTCCCATCTTTGCTGGTAGGCAGGCCTTCAACTCAGTGGTGTAGGCTTCTGATAACTCCCATTTTGTGCTGCAGTGGGTGGTGAGAATCAAAAAGTAAATATTGATCTCTTTTGGGGGGTTTTCTATAAACTTTTCTATAAACACAGTCCTTTCAGCAGTTGTAAGAAGGCTCCACACCCATTTGCATTACTCAGATGACCTTGAAGACACAGATAAATCTCCAAGTGGCCTCAACAACTCTCTAAAAGAATGCAAATGACCAGCTGTCTGCAAGGAATATAAATGCTTCCATTCAGTATCATCCAATTAAAGCTGAAGAAGCTTTTTGGATGAGAAGCAAAACGTCTTCAAACAAAAACAAGAAAGTCCAGTTGCCTCTTGAAAAAGCACCTTTGGGACAACCATGACCTGGATGACTGCTGGGTGTGGGAGACCACGTGAGGGACTGGTGCTGCGCAAATGTGGCAGATGGGAGTGGCTGCTGCAGGGTGTGTGAAGGTGTGTGAGGACCAGCACATTGTAAGCACAGGGGGGCTGCAGGGGGGCTGCTGTCGGAGGTGGGAGACTTACCAGAGCAACCTGCAACCTTCCCTGCTGGCTTCCCCATTGAGTTTGCTTGTGAGAAGCCAGCATGGACGCTCACAAAAGGGATTGTGAGATCCTTTAACTGTCATAAGTGCAAGCTGGTTGCCAAGCATCCAGAACACAATTTCATACTGCTGGCCTGCTGGGACAGTTGGAACTTCAAGAACTGGTCATAAGAACCATCATTCAGTGCCATTGTAATTTCTAATGGTCACTGAACGAGTGGAGACACACATACATACTTTACATGTGGATTTGCAATCAAAGAGTAACTGTTGTAAATTAACATAACTAGCTTTTTTTAAGCAATGAATTTCTTATGCAAGTTTACCTTTTATTGTAAGCTGGACTCTCTGGTTAGGAAGCAGTGAAAAGGGAAGTATTATATTCTAAAGAAAATCCTATGCTGATTGATTACAGAATATCTTTTAAGATTTCTCCTGTCGGTATTATCTCCCGTAATATCGCTGTAGAATAGACACATATGTCCTTCCTACTTTAAATCTGAGATAGCAATTCTACATTTTTAATCTTATTTCCAAGATGCAATGTTTATAGCACTTATTCTAATTATCAGCAAATTCTCTTTCCTTTCCCCATTAAAATAAATTACATGTGCTTGTTTTTCTAAGTTCTGTCATTGTTCTGATGTTTAGATTGAGATTTATTCTGCTCTCCAATATATTAGCATTGAAAGCCTCTCTTGCGATGCAGATGGCTACACTTTGGCAAAGTAGTTAAACAAAACCCGAAAAAACGCAAATGTGCATAGAAAGACCAAATGCTTCCAGCTTAGCTGCTGTTGCATAAAATTCCTTTATCTGTTTTTTTAATCTACTACAGACTTTTGATAAGTGTGTAGAACTAGGCAAAATATTCTTAGTGAAATTAATGGAACCTTTGCAGATGTTTGAAAAGATATTTACTTAAAAAGTTATTTATTAATTTTGATCACTTCACTAAAAGTTAACACTACATATTCTGAAGACGTTAAAGCTACATTTGAATCTGTAAAATGTTTTATAATGGAAACTACTAATAGATCATTAATTACGCTACATGAGAATGGAATTGCTAATTTCTTCATATGCTAATAAATGTCAGTATTTGTGTGGCTAAGTTAGTAAATATTCATAAGTGGGAAAAGTAATAAAAGAAAGAATGTATATTACAGCATCTATAATGGTTGTAATACTTTCACACTCTTACCATCCTGAAAAGAATAGCATAATTAATCCACATCCTTATAACTTCTATCCTAGTACTTGCTCAGTTGGTCAGAACTGCATGCTATATCTGCCTTTTTCAAATTGACATTCAATGTTGAGGCCTATTGGTGATACTTTAGTACCATCTGTTTTTCATGGTAAGCTGTTTACAGTCTTTGTGTGTAACATTACGTTCCCTATTTATTTTGCAGCATAATTTTAATGGGTTTCTTGATTGATAACATTATTTACAGTACAGAGAGAAAAAGAAATCTAACAAGGAAATCTCCAGCAGTGTGTGGAATACATATTTTTATGTCTTTAAGCATAGTTTTTTAATATATCACATGGTGTTTTAGTTGTTTCCTTTCCTTTAAAAAAAGACATTGTTTTTGTTCTGAACTTGGTTTTTTTGTTCTAAATATAGTACCGTAATTATATGAATGAAAAGCTAATTTCTAAAAATGCGTAATAAATTCCAAAGTCGCTAGATACTAAAATATTAATTTTTGGAAGATCTTAAGCCTGCTGCATCAGGATTTGAAATACCGTTCTCCATGTTGCTGTGATATGTTTTCAGTGTATTTTTAATGAATATAATAGATTGCACTCTGGTGTTCATTTAAATATTCTAGCATTTATGTGCAGGTCTGCAGATATATGTTTTGTTGTAACAGATTTGGGTCTTTACTTTGGAGGTGGAAAGGACAGGAGAAGTTTTAGTAAGAAGCAGTAGGAAATGGCAAATAAAGAAAAGAAAAGCAGACCGAAATTTAGAATACTGAAATCAATTTTATTTCAGCTATGAAAAGATAAGGACTAGAAGACCACCAAGGTCCCTTCCAACTGGGTTATTCTGTATTCTAAGTATGTGATGAACACTAAAGGAGTACTAACACATCTAAATCCTGAATGGATGACAGGAAGGACTTATTAAAAGCAAGTCGTTTGACAAGTCCTTCCATGACTTATTTGCTTGACACATTTTATATGAACAGGATAAAGAATTCATGGTACATGTTATGTCCTTACTTCAATGATGGTGGGAAAAGATATTATAATTTATTATTTTATTATTTTATTTGTATCCTGCCTTTATTATTTTTACAATTAATTCAAGGCAGCAAACATATCCAACACTCCTTCCTCCTATTTTCCCCACAAGAAGGAGATGAGTTGGGATGAGATAAAGTGAGTGGCGCAAAAGATATTCATCCAGATCTGTAGGTTTGTTGTGTTTGATACTAACCCATTGGGGTTCCTTAGATTGTTTCTTATGGGAAATTGAGACCAGTAGAAGTTGCTGGTTCCTTAAACAATTTTCTGTGGGTGGTTAATAAATTGCTGTCACTGAATACTTTTTAAAAATGCCTAATTTTCTTTCACATTTTCTTTAATTTTCCCCAAATCTCATGTATTTGAGAGCTGTTTTTCATGTTAGAGGATTTATTTTAGCCTTTCATTCAAGACAGTTAAGAGTTTAACCTACTGCTGATTTACTTTGGTCATCATAATAAAGCTGTACAAACAGAATGGGTATATATTTGCAAAAGAGACCATCTGTGTGGTACATACCTCATTGAGTGGGGCAGCTCTCTTTAGTGTATAGTACAGCTAACATGGATTTACAGTTATGTAACATGGGAAACACATTTAAGTCTGCTGTCTAAATAAGAGATAGCATATATATTTCATGATGCAAACTGATGCTGATTTTATTTTCATTTGAACTTTAGAGTTCACTAGGTTTACCAGTTAAAAGAACCTCCTAAGGTAAGGATGGATATAGGCAAAGTATGTTGGGTTGTAAAGTACAGTGCAGAAGACAAAACATTTGCTGTTTGTTCTTAAGTATTATTAAACTCTTAATGTTGATTACGTGTCAGAAAGTATTTCAAAGTTTTATGGATTTTATTTTATTTATTAGTTGCTTGGTATATTGGTGTATACTTTTTAATTTAATCATAGAAATGCTTTATTTATTAAGTAGATTTATGAAATGCACTGAGAGATAGCCCAAGAAGATGTATTAGAAGATGAGTTTATTTTAGACTTCTATCTCCACCTTTATATACCATATTACAGATCCACTGTGAACACTGTGTGAAAGATGCAGTAGTGTTGTATAAAGCAGTTGCTTTACATCTTAGTTGTAAGTTGCTTCAATACAGGAGTATATTAAGCTTGGAGAAAAAAATACTCATAATAAACATTTCTAAGTGAGAAGCAGAATTCACACACTTGTGGAAATATAAAATACTTCAGCAAAGTTCTTAACTGGGAAGCAGAATTCATACATTTGTGGAAGTATAAAACACATCAGCAAAATCTATAGCTATCTGACCAAAGCCAATTACTTATGACATTTGAGAGAGCAAAGCACTAATTATTTTATAGTGGGGTACACAAAATCAAACTGATTGGTTTTCAAAGGCCATTTCATCTATCTTTGCAAAAACATTTGATCTTTTTTATTTGAGAAAAACGTGAATATATTTTTGTAGTGTCTTGACCTTTAGCTGGTCATTCTCATTTTTGTATTAATTTTCCTATAATTTATAATTTCAACATCATGTCACTGAAAATGAATACATTTATTTCTGTGTATCATGGCGTCATCCAGGGTAGTTATAAATTCTCATATGTACCCAAAGAGTCATAACTAGTAGTAATACATTAAAGATCAATATTTTGCTAGGGCAAAACAAGTTGCATTGTTTCTCTATTTTTACTTTATTATAGTCATCCTTTATTCCCATACTTCCAAGTAGGTTCCATTCTCTTGAAACAGCTTTGGGATTGTTGTATGAGCTATAATGGACTGGCAAAAATCAGACAGTCCATTTTCTGCAATTTTACCATGAAAGGGTAAACAACAATATGCAGATCTCAGAAAAACAGTAAAAAAAAGGAAAAGAAATTAAAGGCACGTGATCAGAACAAGAAAATGAAATCTAGCTAAAATTGGTTCACACCAACAACATTAAATATACTTGCTCGTACTAACTGTATTTACTTCACTATATCCTCTGCTCCATAAAAGCCACATTTTATATTTATACAGTATTCATTCTTTTATTGTATACATGCTTGAGTTGACTTATGCATCAGTCACATATTCAGAACCGACCTATTTCTAAACTGATATCTATATACTACTAAAACTGTGTATAATCTTTAACTGGGCAAAACAGTGCACTGTAGGATAACAACTTTTGCACCAAGGTACCTCAAATGGGCTAATGTTTAAGTCTACGATCCATGACTCCCATGGCATTGAACTTTAACAAATGTTGTAAAACATTTTGTGACATACAATTGCCATAAAACATTTTATGACATAATAGAAAATGTCATAAAATATATTCTGTAGTGAAGGAGCAGTTGCTCAAGTGCCAAGCCATAATAAGTAAGTTTCCCGAAAATTGCCTGTTGCTAGACAGACTGAAATTAGTCTGTCACGAGCAATGGACTCTGTCTTGATGGGGGAAAGTGGCATTTGAGCCATAGGTGAGTATGTTCTCACGTTCAATTTTTTTTGGCTCTGCTAGGTAATGTAATATTTTAAAACACAATCAACTGTGTTTAGTGATGTTACAGGCTTTTTCATTTATAGGGGTTTTCAGACTGAGCGATGCACTGAACTCTGTATACATAATCAAGCATGCTGGTTGAAGGAAAAAGGAATTGTGGGTCAGCATATCTAAAATGTCTGTTTTTATGTAGAAATTAATTTATACCAATTAAGACAAAATGAGGCATGAAACTTGTAGGAAACATTAATGTTCAAGTCCATTTTTTTAAATACAAGTAGATTAAATATCTTCTATATGAATTTCGGCTGGTTCTTTTGGCATTTCTTTGATGGTAGTGATGCTAGTTACTTGATTTAGTTGCTGTAAATTTATATCATACACATTTTTGCACATCAGCATAATACTGTATGAAGGTTTTAGCTATAAGATTGCATGCAAAAGTAGCTAAGCCTGTCCATGAATATTTCTTGTTAGTTTAAACTTAGTCTATGCACTCAAGAATCATTTTGTAGCTTTAAACGGGCGAAGTGCATTTGATAATGATGGACTAAAAAAATCTTTCCAATGTATGCAATTTTGGTGGCCTGCTGTGAGCATATTTTATTGTGGCATTTGCATGTATAGCTCCACATTTTAAACAAATAAACTGGATTATTGCAACATGTTTTATTGAAGAGTTTTTAGAAGCCCTAATAGAACAAAATATAACCATCAAATTTATATTTGGGGTAGGTTTTATGAAAAATCGGAACGCTGTTCATCTGTATATTTGTTATCAATGGAAGCCCCCGGTAGAAAGTAAAATTACTTCTACTTTTTATGGATCTATGGAACTCATTGCCATAGGTCAGAAATTATGAATTCAAAGTTATTGAAGGATGATATTAATCATACGCTATATCAATCTTCTTGCTCCTAAATATCTAAATACCAAAGCTTTGATAACTTACATTTTAAGTCATGATATTTTGTTTTCTAATAAATAGTTAAAATCATCATTCAACTGATTTATGATGATGGTTCCCACTATTTCGTAGAAATTATAGTCATTTCCAATATTTCTTTTAACACCATGGTGATTTTACCCACAATTAAAATAAATTATATAACTACTGAATTCATATACAAAAATGTCTTTAAGAGGGCTTTATCCTGTTTGTGTTTATAGGAGCAAACTTTAGCTTTGCGGAAAGAAGGAATTGGAGTTGTGTTAGATTCTGAATTGCCTCACTTAATAGGCATTGATGATGATCTTCTGAGCACAGGTATCATCTTGTATCACTTAAAGGTAATTCAATATTTATCTGCTTTCCAGTTTCTAAAAGGACAGTTGTATTTTAGTACTAATTTATTTTCTGAAGAAGCTAAACATCTGTTACTTCTCTGCAAAATGGGATGTCAATTATGGAATATTCTAACTTATTTAATATGCTTTTATCAGTCATCTCCTGCCTATATCTGCCCTGAGGATTAGTGATAGATGAATGACATTCTTTGTTCTTAATTCATTTTATTCTGACTAGGAGTTGTTGATGCTTTGAAACATTCAATTTGCTTTTCCTTAATAAGCCCAGAACTAGAAAGAAATAATAATTTCTAATAATATTAGAAATCATTTGGTTTTAAAATGAATGTGAGTAAATTAAATAATAAATATGACTAACTGTCATGGGAAGCATGAGATAAACAATACATCACTAACTAATAAGACCTCCAATTCCAGGAAAATGTACCTTAAGCTTGTAGGAAGAAACAGAATAAGTCAGTTGGTGTTTTGTGATTTTAACAACCTGAAATTCAGGAAGCAAAAGTGTTATTTTTTTAATCCAAAATTCACAATAAATTCAATAAATTCTTGAATGTAAGAATTAAGAGCAGCCCTTTACCTGCTTATAGAGCTATAGGAAGAGAAATTAAAAGCATAAGATAATTATTGCTATAATTTTCCTTTGTAGCTTGAGCAAAATAATTTTTCACATGCACTCATCATCTTTCAACATAGTAGTGACATATAGGTAGTCCTTTTTTCAGGATAATTTTATTAAAAGTTATAATTGCACTGATAAAAAACTCATACAAAGTAAAAAGATTAAAAAGAAACAATAGAAAGTGCAGAAAAGAAAAATAAATTAGAAAAGAAAAAATAACATAGTAAAGTTATATACATAACTTCCCTCTTCATCACAAGTATAAACAATTTTAATAACTTATTACCTTTTCTTAAAATACAACAGGTGATCTCTTCTTCCCATATCCCATATTTTATCTATAAACAAATCCTTAAAATCTCATCATTTCACCTTGATCAGCAAAACTCCATTAAAGATTACCATTTTAATCCTGATCAACTAAGCCAATTTTTATATTCCTTCCTTTTATTTTTAATAATCTTGATCTTTAGTCCCCTCAAATTATGTCCTAGAACTTGATTTCTTTTCATTTTTACTTTGTCCCTTCTCACAAAATCCAGATCATTTGCTTGGTTTGTTATTTGCATACTATCTCTTTTCATTATAAAGACATCCACTAAGGCATTTTTAAATCCACTTTCAGATCAATCTTAGTCTTTTCTGGTAAAAATTGTTCCTCTTCCATAACATCTTTTAAACATAGTGTCTCTATAGAGGCAGATATCTTAATATTAACTTCTGGATCCAGGGTTCAAAATACCCTCCAGTGTGCCAAATGTTAAAATGTTTCCTTCTCTTCTATATTTGTAACTCAAATTTAAGTGTTCTTTTCCTTTAATTGTATTCTTTAGTTCCTTCTGGTTCTTCCCAGAGTCCAACCTTCAAAGTCCCATCCTATCATTTAAAAAAAAAAAGAATTTAAAATAAAAGCATTTTCCTGCAGGAAGATTTCTTATAATTGACTCCAAAATCTAAGTTCAAATTCATCTGGAGCCTTAGTCCGTTTGTTATTTTCCAAAACCAAAGTTCTGATAACCTTTGGCTGTTTATTCCTATCAGTCTCCCCATCCCCAAATTTTTTAAAGCCCTTAAACTTGTATTTAAAATTCCTTTCACTAAGGTTGAAAGGAAACTCACCCAATGGTTTCAGGTTTTTTGATCCAAAGGTTCCTAATAGCTGAAAAAAAATTACCGTAAATGCCGGCGTATAAGGCGACCCGGCGTATAAGACGACCCCCGTCTTTATAGCCGGGCCGCATTCCTAGAACGTCGTCTTATACACCGGAAACTACCAGTATTTCCGGCGTATAAGACGACTCGGCGTATAAGACGACCCCCGTCTTTGGCGCCGATTTCAGCGCTCGCGGAAGTCGCCTTATACGCCAGCATTTACGGTAGTAACAATCTTGACTGGTGATGTAAGCCCCAAGAATATTTGGGAAAAGATTTAAATTTCTAAGAAAAAGCATAACTTTTATTATAACTTTTAAATAATTTTATGATTTTACATACACATAGTCCTTGACATACAACTGATCACTTAGTGATTGTTCAAAATTACAAAAGGGCCTGGAATAGATGCCGTGACTGTCATAACTTGTCTGCCATACCATAAACTGCCACATGAACAAATTTCAGGCACTTGGCAACTAGCTCACCTTTACAATTGATTGTGGTGTCCCATAGTCACATGACTGCAATTTGCAACATCCTTTGCCAATTTTCACTAAAAACAGCCCCGTTTGGAATATTGGATTCACACTTGTAACTGGTGTTCTCATAACAACCACAAAATTTGCTTAGCAACCACAATGATTCACTTAATAACTCCCTCAAAAAAATATTGTAAAATCAGGTCCGGACACATGAGTGCCTCAGCTTAGGACTATAACAAATTATGACCAGAAATCCAGTCCCACTTGTAGTCATAAGTCAAGGCCTACCTGTAGTCACTATAGCATGTCGACTTTTCTTCCTTAGGAGGGGCAAACACATGTTGGCAGAGAAGACGCTGCAAGAGAACAAGATATTGGTAAATGTGCTTGCTTTCTCTTTTATTTTAATAGATGTTCCAGCAATTGTTGGTTGCAGGGGTAGGGGGATGATTTCTAAATTTATAAATTTGAAAGGGGTTTTAGAATTACTGTTCTAACACATATACACACTGACATACAGACACACATTCTTCATTTCCCCCATCCATGGATTAGGGTTATGCGTAAAATACTCATTGCCATCAGCAGATATCTATTGTAGGATGCTTACAGAAGAAATCATACCTGTGGTTTTTGGAAGAATGGCTGATGTAAATAAAACGCTACATTATTTTTACTAAGGTTTATGGTACTGGAAGTAAGCCATTATATTAGCCCTTCTCTACTATTTTATGAATTCCTCCCCGTTGTTATCAGTATAATGCTGCATATGAATAAAAGTCTCTGTTCTCATAGCAATGCAGATTTATATTTTTGGTTATACTTCTGTAGCTCTCAAATTAAACCAGCCCTATATGTAGTCTCTCTTGTTTTGTGCCCCTGCACATCTGTATATACGGTAGATTTCTAAAAAGATAAAATTCAAAATTAAAAGTTAAAGACAAAAATAGTACCGTTGTTGAATCACAAGTAAAGGTGCCTGGTACATATATAAGCACAAAACCGGACAATATATCAGAATCTTGGCTGGAGCAAAAGAAGTAGTGAATAGAAGTTGTACTCTCTACCGTGGAATTTCTTTAGCATAGGCTAGAAGTCATGCAGAGTTGAGTAGAAAAGGTGCATATGGTTCTACTGAGCCACCCCCATGTGGATATCTATGCTGATGAAAGGAGGCAATTTTGTAACAACCTAACAAAACAACAGAGGGCAATGCTTCCAACTTGTCCAAAGCACAGGTCTGATTAAATTTTGGAATTGTGATTCAAGTAACCTCAATTTAGGACTACGATTAAGAATTTCTGTTGTTAGGTGATGGAGTCACAACATCATGTGACAGCATTGCTTAGCGGCAGTCATCCCAGAGCTCCCTGTTGCTGTTGTTAACTGAATTCCACTGGTCATTAGTCAAGGATACATCCCAATTTAAGCCATTCCCAGCTTGGTCTGTCCCAGCCCTGAGCCTTGTTTCTTCCAAGGTAAGGGAAAACTCAGCAGCACAATATGAAACTGCAGTTACCCAGAAAACCCCAGCTGCTCCAGGAATCCCCAGCAGCGTGGCATAAAACAGCCACCCAAGGAAGGCCAGCTGTTCCACAAAACCCCGGCAACAAGGAGTGACACTACAGTCCAACAGTGTGAAACAAATACCCACCCAGCAATGCAGCACATAGCTACTGCCCAGCAATGCGGCACAAAGTAGCTGCCCCACGAAGCCCCAGTCACCTCAGCCCAACTGCCCAGACTGCCTTGTACTTTGATAATCCTGCTGTCCTGCACTCCACCATACTAGATAACCTTTGCCAACTTCATGATCCCACTGCTGCTGAGGCATGCCTGCCCTGGCCCTTTGTAAGGCAGCTGTCTGTCGTGTGAGGCCCTTTTCCGCAAGTCTTGTGAGGAAACTGTCATGTGCGACCTGAGGAAGATAGCTTAGTGTGGCCAGCAACTGCATCTCAAAGGGTCAGGGTGGGCATGCTTGGTCAGGAACGGGAGCAAAAAGATAGTAAAGGGCAGCTAGGGCTGAAGGGGGGAAGGGGTCAAAAGGGCATTAGACGGAGAGATGATTGGAGAGAATTAAAGCCACCCTTGCAGTTGTAAGTGCAGGTGGGCTGCAAAGCACCCAAATTTTGATCATATGACTATGGGGATACTGCAATGGCTGTAACTTCAGGGACCAGCCGTAAGTTCTTCATTCAGCCCTACTGAAACTTTGAATAGTTACCGAACAAATAGTCGTAAGTCGAAGACTACCTGTAGAACAGGCACATACCCTTTACAGAAAATTCTATGATTTCTGAGGCTGAAGCCAGGCTTAGACTGGTTTGAAAACCAGTGTATAGGATACACCATTTAAGAACCCTTCTGTCCATTTCAAAGGGAAGCAGCTGACTCTCCAAAAGAGTAAAGACACTAGAGCAGTAGGAGCAGCTGTTAGTCATGTTAAAAGAATGATAAGGGGTGCTGTTTCCACTTAACTGAATGGATAAGACTTCTAAGTGTGCATAACTGCCCATTAGATGAAGGAGTTGTGCATTTTGTAATCAAGCCCAAATTCTGAAGAATTTGACATTATATGCTAATAGGACCAAATCTCTTTATGTTTACATTATGATATTCAGCACAATTTATTCCTTCCCAGGATTCATAACAGAGATCAAGTTATCTTTGACCGCTTCCACTACCTTAATGATATTTCAGGAATGATAATTGTTACAGCTGCACTGATCCCCAAAGTAGAAGAGGTTTAAAATATTATTTCCTGGAGAATATATATGTATATATAGCACAAAATTACTTAAGAAGCCAAAAAGCTGATGATTTTATTATTATTGAAATCATATATGGTTCTCTGTATCAAAGTTCCCCAATCCTTCCGGCTTTGCAGACCAGTGGGGGGGAGGTAGGGGAATGGTTCCACGCCAGCGATGGGCATGCATGCTTGCCTCTTTGTGCAAATGGAGCGTGCATGCATTGCTTGCTCCCCCAACTTCCGTGGCCTGGTTTCAAACAGCTCAAGGCTTGGTAGTGGGTTGGGGACCCCTGCTCTGTATGGTTCTCTGACACAATACAATTTTCAGTGTCCACTGATACCTAATCAATTCCATATTTGAATTATTATTTTAAAAATGTATACATTTTGATCTGGTTTTTTTTTTTCTTCTATCTAGACCGGTTTACTTATCTTGCTTATTTAAAATATTCTTTGTATACAGGCAATACAAAGACAATATGAAATCTGGGAATTAATGGGATCAGTGCTAATAGATTTAAACTTTGGGATTAGAAAATAAAAATCCTGTTGTAATAGTTATTACAAATCTGTTTTTGTGTTTTAGTACTTCATGGTCTTGATTTGGAAAGCGAGCACTGCATTTTTGAACACTTTAATGGAACGGTTCATTTGATACCACTTGTTGGAGCCCAATGTTCTATCAATGGAATTCAAATCACAGAGGCTACACAACTCAACCAAGGTATTACCCTAGATTTTTTCCCCCTTTTCTCAGTTCAGATTTCTTCTACATATTTTATTGCAGTTCAGCAATACAGATGATACACTAATGAGATGCAAGTACTATATTTGTCCAATCCAGCCTTCTCTGGTGCTTTTCAAATGTGTTTAAGATCGCATATTTTTATCATTACCAGGCCATCATGCTTTCAGTTCCAGTGCATCTGAAAACCGTCAGGCTGTGAGGAGGACAGATAGGCAGATAAATATAGTGAGGCAGTTTGTGTGTACATGTGTGCGCTGGTGGTAATAGAAACTTATTTTAGTGGAGACCAAAACACTTTGTGATTTCAAGGGATCTTAGGTCTAATCCAGTGGTTCTCAATCTTTCTAATGCCGTGACCCCATAATACAGTTCCCCATGTTGTGGTGACCCCCAACCACTTATACATCACCGGGTGCCAGGGGCGTGGCCAAAGAAAAGGGGGGAAAAATGGCGGACAGCCTTGTTTGGCGACCCCCGTGAAATTGTCGTTCGACCCCAAATGGGGTCCCGACCCACAGGTTGAGAACCCCTGGTCTAATCTTTCCGCAAAGTGAACAGAAATTAAGTCATCCTAGCCACACTTTGGAATATAATATATGCAAGTACTTCCTGCTTATCTTAAAGAACAACAATGGAAGCACCTCAGTTCCTTGCCAGTCCCTTGAGGATTTTGACGATGCAAGGACCATTTAATTCGTCTGTTTGCACTGAACTTGTGCCTGCAGCATTGTTCAGTTTGCTCAATTTCATTTTCAATAGTGTCTTGAAAAAAGCTGTTCCATTTTATTTGTTCCTTTACCATCCCTATTTCATCACAAAATCTTTCTTCTGGCTTCTGAGTATTAAAATGAAGGAAGGAGCGAAATAATTACAAGACCGCTATAGTTTTGCACGTTTTAAAGAATTCAGTTACTCTGAAAAATGCAAGGCTTTTCATCAGTTTCCTCACTGATCTAAGGACAAAATCAATATCTCCAGATAGATTATAGTATTCCAAATGCTTGAATCTTAACCCCTAACAGAGCATGCATCTATTTTTAATGTGCATTTCTCTCTCAGAGGTTTATAGAGCATCCACACACTATTTAAGTTTACTATCTGCATGCTGAGGAGGATAAAAAGAAATACTATGCAATTTAAGGTATTTCAATTCTATAAGTATGTTAAATTGAGACTTACGTGTTTTTGTTTTTCTTAATGACATTATGGGTTTAATCTGGAGAAGACATGTTTTAGAAAAAGATTTATATATTCTGGATTCACTAAGACTACTAGCTTAAATACAGATAAATGACAACTGTCATATTTCATAAATTATTAGCATTAGATTTAAGAACCATGCATTTAGAACTATTTGTTAAATATTTTTAAGTCTGGAATTTTAGGACCTTTAAATACCTGTGTCAGAAATTTTAATTAGCTTCTTCATGCTTAACTGTACCCTTTCATTTGAAAAATAGTATTAATTTGAAATGGTTGGGCAAAGGAGTAGGAGGGAACTTTATTATAAAGATGATGAAGTAAAGACTTGAGCATAATAAGACTTGCTAATAACATGAGCTATATAAGTAGTGTTATACAGGTTTAGAGCTAGTCAGTAAACAGAAGAGGAATGGAAATTCAGAGACAGTTATTGTTGTATTATTATTGTAGAGTAAGGGGTGTCCAGAAAAATTATTTATTTAATTAATTTTTTAAAGTACCTGTATTCTACTTCCTATTTTAAAAATCTCAGTTACAATTAAAATTCTAATGTTATACTAAATAATATTATCTTTCTATAGAGAGTGTGTGTGTGTGTGTGTGTGTGTGTGTGTGTGTGTGTGTGTGTGTGTACAGACTACTCCCTGCAGTTTTCTTGCCAAGATTTCAGAAGTGAGTTACCATTTCCTACCTTCTAGGGCTGAGACGAATGACTGTCCCAAGGTCACCCAGCTGGCTTTATGCCAAGTTGGGATTAGAACTTAAATTCTGCCGATTTTAGCCTTATGCCTTAACTACATTAGGCAAAATGAGTAATCACTTAGCATAAAACTAAGGTATGGAATTTGCTATTAAAGGACATTGTTTTCCCAAAGGGTGCTATTATATCAGATATGGGGATACAATACATCAAAGTATTAATTGATTTATTGACAGCTTCTATACCGGGCCAATAAGCAATATCCAAAGAGAAGTGGGTTTACAAGGCCTTTTTGTGACTTATGCAAATCTACTTTTGTTTAATTGGTTGTATTATATTCTTAGTTAATGAGCCACAGTCCATTAGGATATTATTGTCAGGGTGATTAATAAGATTATCCTTACTTATTAGGTTATTTATATGCGTATTAAAATATTCCATAAAGGGTGGATCACAAGAGATGATCCACCCTTTATGTTTTCCTAAACATAATGGAGTTCTTACCCCAAACAATGTCTAAGAACTTATAGCTAATAAATGTTATTTAACTTAAATAAAAAAACTTGGTTTCCAGCACTAAATGTTTCCAGCCATCTAGTGTACGCTTTAGTGACTTGCTTGCTTGCATTTTACTTATCCTGTTAGTACTTTGTTACTTTAGGCATGGATGTAAATGCCAGCTTCTGCTGACTTAAAAATGTGTGGTTTGTTCATTTATTTCACTGAGTTTATTGAAATTGCTTATCAGAATGTATAGGAATGTAAGTTCAAATAAAAAATTATCCTATTCTTTTCCAGGTTGTAGTGATGATGACCATTAATTTGGATAATTTTGAAAGCAATATTACTAGGCAATTACCACTAGCACTGATGATGTTACCTTATTTTGGGTATTGAAATATTTGCAAGAAAACAACCAAGCTCAGAGAGCATCCATTACTACTTTGCTGTGATGGGACAGTTTAATAGCATCAGTGACTGGAACAGGAATGCTTGCAAGAATGAGAACTCTTAGCTGGGTCATCCTTTTAATGAGGTCCAAAAGGGAGGAGGAGATCTTTGGAGTAATCTACCACAGGGTGGAAGTAGAACAGGTGGGCTTTGCAAACATGGGACAAACCAACTCGTATAGGAGAAGAACTTTAAATTCTAAATCAAAGTTGAAATAGCAAACCATTTTTGTTTCATTCTGCCTATGTCTGCAAAGTTTGGATGAATTAGTGATGCCAGATGTTAAGACTCACAGTTTGGAAGACTTTCCTCTAATTACAGGGGAAAAGCTTTGAACTTTTAACAAGCAGATCTGGAGACAGAAGTATGGCCTGAACAAAGCCCTAATAAATTCTATCAACAAAGGAACTACTATTGAAAGAAAATTCATATTTTAGTAGGAGGTACTGTATATCATTGGAAAATGAAATATGAGAAGCATAAACCAAGGGGAAAAAATGAAATTGTCAAAAATGAACCATTTAAAATCAGATACATGCTGTACTATTCAGGTCATGAAACTATGTACAGGAATAATGAAATTTGACCTACAGAATTTAGAGTCAGAATATAAGATCAATGCAACGAAGCAAGTACCATACATGTACTTTATATGAAAGAGAACTAGAGGGGCTATGAATGAGAAAACTGAAACCAGAAAAGATTCTGCCACATTTCACTTTTGTATTCACGTTTGTTATCCATTTATTACTCTTTCATTTATTTTATTACATATACGTAAGTAGTGGGAAGCTGACAGTGGTTTATTTGGCTTAAAAGGTGGCCTTTAGATGAGAAACCTAGATTACATAGAATAATATAAATATGTTTGGAGTAAAACAGATGTGTTTGGGCTTTGGTTGTCCTTGCAGTATGTTGGCCAAACTGTATGATAACTTAATGATATTGTGCCCTTACTATTAGCAGGACATTATGCATGTTGCACAGATGTAACAAAAACCTAGTCTGCTTCTTCTTGAATTTACTAATTTACTAAAAAAAAAAACCCTCTCAGTTTTCTATTCTGACCGAGAACAACTGGTTATGATGGCAAACATGCATATTTCAGTTACAATGGAGTTACATTTATACAGTTACAGGGCAATGAACATTAAGCAACTCCTTCTCCTCTTCTTCTTCCTCCTCCTCCCTAATATTACCAAGATCTCAAGAGTCTTCAGACTTTGCTTAATAACTATTGAGATAACAAAAAAGACCATATATTAATTGTATGGACATAATTGGTATCACATTTCACTTGCCCTTAAGAAATACTTTTAAACTCTAAATCCCTTTTGGTTGTACAGTTGACTTTGAACAGAATGACATTTCCTTCAAATGAAGTTGGAAATACTGAAATGCCTTCTCTTGCACTGTTTAATTGCTCTAAAGTTAACTTCTTTGTCAAAATAAATCCTACAACCAAAGTTTTCTAAATTATTTAAAGCTATTAGTTACAAAATATTAAATTCTGTATATGCTTGGGAAAATGTGATTTTTTATATAATATTGTAATATAAATGTGCCATATACAATGTACTTTTCCCATTGATTTGAAACAGTTGAGTGAGTACCCTTAAATGATTTCCTGAGCTTTCAAAAAGAAAATAGTAAATTTAACTTTTAAAGAAGAAGAATGTTAAGTAACAAACATCTGTTTAAGAGTTAAAAGAAACTATTCTATGGCATAGCTGCTGGAATTGTAACTTCGGACCTAGTAGTTGCAAAAGGAGTATACGAATTGAAAGTAGACCAACCCAATGCATCACATAAATTACAGTGAGAATATTGAAATAGCTTTACAGCAAGAAGTTATATGAAAAGTAAATCTTTAATATTAGCCTGGGATAAAGTTTAGTAAGAATTGTTAGTATAATTTTGAATGGAAAGAGAGCACTAGAACCTTTTTCTCTAAGAAACGATGCAGTAGAGTCCTACCAACTTTATTACATTTTTATTTCTATAGTGGATTGGAATATTTACATGAAATTAAAGGCAAGCCAAGGTACAAGTATTTGAAGAAAAATGAAAGCCATGTTACATGGAAATTACATTTGTTTGATACTGATTTCTATCTATAAACTCTATTGACAGCACTATGCTGGAACAAGAAAATTAATAGAATTTACCAAACAGAATGTAATCACCTGGCTATATTCAAGATCACTTAATTTTATGCCTCCTCATTTATAAACGATATTCTGTTTTCATCTATGAAAATTAATTCTTCCAGCTTCTCTTGCCCTGCTGAACTATTTAATTTTCAAGTCTTTTCAATCCATGTGATGGTTCATAATATTTATAGAATAGAATCTAGGATTTTAATTTGAATCTCCAGATAACTTTTTATCTCTCCAAGTCAAGAAGAAATGTTTGAGCTATTCTCAATTTGAGCAAACTAAAGCAGAACATAGAAATCTAATGCACTTGGAACAATGGTATAGAGTAGACAGATCAGATTAAAAATATAAATTCAGATTTATTTATTCATTTGCTAAAACTTACAAAATCACTCTAAGCAACTTCTTTCATTCATTATAAATCTAGCATTAAAATAGAATTGAGCCAAAAACAAAACCAGTAATGATGCAAAAATAAAATTATTATCATAGTGATACTTGTCATAATTCACAACAATTGCTATTTTTTCAGGAGCAAAACAGCAGTCATCCGTCCCCAAATAGCCTCCAAAAAACCCAGGTATTGTCTGTCTTAGAAAACAGCAGCAAGGATGACCCCAGCATTATAAAGAATCAGATTGTGCAGAGGGTATTTCTTAATGGTGATATTCCTTAGGACCGCTGCATTCTGTAGCTTCCATATGATTTTCAAGGGTAGCCCATATAAATGTGAAAGAATAGAGGCATTAGTGATGATTTACAATGCTACATGGTCTGAAAATGAACACAAGTTGTACACAATATAGAGCAGGGGTCTTCAAACTTGGCCCTTTTATGACTTGTGGACTTCAACTCCCAGGCATGCTGGCTGAGGAATTCTGGGAGTTGAAGTCCACAAGTCATAAAAGGGCCAAGTTTGAAGACCCCTGATATAGAACTCTGCATAGGTCTTCCTGACCATGGTCTCCATCTCCCCTTACAATAAGCTGTGATTCCAAGAGGAGTCATTCCCCCCCCTTGACCCCATATGGATATAAAATAAGACAGAAGAGTGTCAAACCCCATGACATCCCATAGTGGAGGGCTCCAAGCTTTGACTTCTCTTGTATACATCACCCTCAAATGAAACTGCTTATCAGAAATGATTACTGGAAAATACTTCCAATTCTGACTTCACAAGAATGCCATGCTCATTACTGAAGGTAACTGAGAGATCCAGCAGACCAGAAAGGCCATACTCGCTCTATCCCCTGTCCTACCACAGGTCACCGCAAGAGCAATGATTGTAGTCTTATTCCTGTATCCTGCCCTGAAACTGAGTGAAAAGGATTTTGATAATCTGCTGCATCCAAAGCACCGTGTAAGTAGAGGTCTGCTGCCTTGTTAAGAACATTTTCCAGAAAGAGAAGGTTGGAGAAAGGCTAATAGCTGGGTCAAGGATGCACTGCCACTTTCTTCAAATCAGGTAGCATGATCTCATTACTCAAGGATGCATTTAGCCACAGCACTTCACCAAGATGAAGTTACCTTATCAGTTTTCACCAACCAGATAGGAAAATATCTAATCCATGGTGCTGATGTCACAGAAGATCCTGTTCCTTCTTTTTTTATTTTTTTGCAAATAATTTTGCAAGACTGACTGTCATCTCTTTTAACCTTGCCCAGCAGTTTGTATGTGCGTGTGTTTTTTTTCTGGATGCCTGGAAAAATCATCACAGCACCCCAAAAAACTATCTTCCTACCAGAATAGTTTGAATTCCTCTAAATGGATGGCAATCTACGGAAGCAATAAGTGCAAAGTATTAATGTTTTGCCACTCTGATTGCCATAAAGTGGACCTGAATCTGTGCTCATGTTTGGTTGTATTTGTTCTTTTTGATCACTGATGTTCAATCTATTCTGCTACTTCATCTACTCTCTCCTGGTTGTGAGAGAGTAGACATAATAATATAGTCAAAAGCATTCGGATCATTGTCAAAATACTTATACAGCATATATGTGAATGAAATCTCTCCACTAATTCAGACTTATCCTTCCTGTATACAAGAGAAAATCCCAAACTAGGCTGTACCACAGCTCGGCATGGAAGCAAGCTGTGGCAATATGAGGTTCCAATTTGTTGAAATGTTCTCCTATGCATTTTTCAAACATGGACCCCAAGCTTCATTCAACTTTCTGATTAATCTATTTGTTTGATGATAACATGGAACAGATGTGAGATGTTCCATGCTGTAAATAGCTCATAACTTCCACATGATCTCTTGACAGGAAACTAAGTTGCTGTTCAACCCATTCTGGCAAAAATATGAATTACAATTTGATTTACAGTCTTAGTAATATTCAGTTTAGAACTTAGTGGTGAAGGCCGCAAGAGTGGATACAAAGTGGTTGTCCTGAGGGATCTTGTTTGAAATTTGTCTTATGTTGACTGTCTACCAATCTCTGGTATAGAGCTTCCATGATAGAGAAGGATTATAAAATGCCATTATTCCTGCAATTCTCCACCCTCTGGTAAACTTCACAGGATTTTAGATATTCGGTCAGTTCCCTGCCATATCCAGTTTACTATAAATATGGATTGATTGATTGATTGATTGATTGATTCTACTCATCCTCTTTTGTCAAATGGGTAGTTATGTATGTGTTAAGCTTGATATACTTATACTTAAGCTTGATATACTAGGCACAGAAATCTCTAAGACTTGCTTCACTGTCTTGAGGCAGATACCTGAACTAGAGTGGGAGGATGGTCACTGATTCATAAAGACCCTTTCAACTTTTATGATTCTATCATCCCATGTAATTATTAAAGTAATGGGGGAAAACACTTTTTCTGATGCAGAGTATCATGGATTGCTTTGGGAGAAATTTTGTCTTGCCAAACTTTTACTGAAGGTGATCAGTTAATATAGCAGTTGATATGATTGCTATTATATAGTACAATTTATTCAAATAATCTGGTACAAAACCAATGCTCTCTATGTGAGTTTTTATGAGCTTCCACACAGTTTTTCTTTTCAAATATATTTGAGTTTCTTTATGTTTGTTGCAAAATAAATATTAAAAAAACATGGTTATGATGACTAAAACACACTCTATTCCACTTGAATCATTTCAAAAAGCCTGGAGGATTTCTTTTAAATTGGGAGAAACGTTTATCGCCAATAATGGTTTTCTCTTGCTCTTAAAACATCTGAGTAAGCAATTTTATCCAGCTTAGAATACAAACATCATACATTTCATTTTTAAAAGTGGGAGTCTACAGCTCATTTTTTAAAAAATGTATTTTTCATTCCATGATGGAGTAAACAAATTTTGTTTTAGTCTGAATTGAAGAAATGTTGCTGCCTTTGGTTTGCTTATGGCTTCAATGATTTTCTTGCCAGGTGCTGTAATATTACTTGGGAGGACAAATATGTTTCGATTCAATCATCCCAAGGAAGCAGCCAAACTGAGGGAGAAAAGAAAGGTGAAATTATTGAGTACATAGGAAATTTCCATTACTTATAATCATAAGTACCTGATTGATCTTGGTGCAATAAGGTGAATGAGATTAAAGTACAATGTGTATGCTTCCCACCCCAAAAGTTTCTTATGCAAAAATTATTGTCATGGAGGAAATCATCTATATAGTTACTAGGAGTCAAAACCAACTTGATAGCTTATATAAGATGTTTTACAGGTGGCACCTCCCCCCTGTGAGAATAGCTAAAATGGACAAAAAGACCTCACCGAAATGTTGGAAATGTAAAGAATCGCTCGGACCTACTACCATATGTGGTGGGAATGTTCAAAAGTACAAAAATTTTGGCATTTGATAAAACAGTGGTTAGAAGAGATACTAATGCAGAACATCGAGCTAAAACCAGAACTCTTTCTCCTGGGTATCAGTAAGGATAGATACAATAAAGGATCCCTATACCTATTACTACACATGCTAATAGCAGCAAGATTAGCCTTTGCACAGAGATGGAAGGATAATGAGACACCCTCAGAAGAAGAGGTAATAAGTAAGATTTTATCCTGTGCGGAAATGGATAGGCTGATATTAGAACTCAAGGATAAGAGTGAAACAGATTATTATGAAATCTGGAATAAATTGTAAAATTGGTTGAGGAAAAATAGACGGAAAAACTCTCTGATTCAGCAAAACATATTGAAAATATTAAAATGAAAATTAAGAATATAGATGACAGGACCCACCAGAGAGAATATTTAAGAGAAAAAGAGACATTTGTTTGAATATGTGGATTACGAATTATAGAAATCAATTGTTAACGATCTTTCCTTACAAATGTAAACTAAGCAAACACAGTTAACCGACTATTATGTGATTTATGTTTTAAAAACTAATAAAACTTATAAATAAATTTAAAAAAAAACAACTTGATAGCATATAATCAGTTAGTCAAATAAATATTAACTTTTCTGTTGTCTTTAACAGAGTGGACTGCTTTCTTCCTTCAGTTTGTCCATGTCAGATCTTTCAAAATCTTGCGAAAGCCTCTCAACAGTGATGCTCTATAATCCAGGGTGGGTTCTTTTCCCTCAAATATTTTTTATGGCTGATACCAATATATCATATTTGTATTTGAACATATAGTGATTTTTAATTATCCTTCATATCTGAAAATAATACGTCTTAATATTAATTGCTGAGAGAAAATGGAGAAATGTGATAATCAAGTAGAAAAAAAAATCTGCTTGATAAATATTCTAACAGCAGAATTGTCTTTACTAGTGTGACTACTAGCAGACTGCAAATTATAAATAAATTTAACCTTTGTAATAGGACGTTGTATAGGTATGAACATTTCCCCCAACAAAAATATTTTGAATAATAGTCTTATATTAAGAAATGGTCCCAAAAGTTTGAAGATATAAAATCGAAAATAAAAATAAAAATGGAGGATTTTAAAAATACGATTATACATAAATATATGGGATTTATTTAAACTTATAATATTTTTAAAATTCTGTGCAGTTGATTGTATTAATTGTAATTGTATGTAACTGTATTAAGGTTACATGGTCCAGTATATACTATGGTCCAGTATATTTTGTGCAACATTTACTGTGGTCCAATATATTTTGAAGTATAACTGCAAAATAGCAATTGTAATCTTTAAAAGAATTGTTTCATGTATGAACTTTAGACCACTATATAGGTGATTAGAACAATTTTTCCCGATATTACTTGTTCCTTGCATGGGTCAGGTGACCGGAAATATCTCTTCCCTCTTCTGGGTGAAAAAAAATAGCTTACGATTTTTAACTAGTTGCACTCTCATAGCTTGTACCTCAGTAATCTAGTTAGTATTTCAGTCTACTTCTTTTAACCTAATACAGTCTACTTTTAACCTAATGCAGCTATGTCTGTAATTTACTTCTGCTTAATGTGTTTTCGATCTCTATTGTGCAGAGCAGATATATCTGTCACTTCAAATGGTGGTAGTGGAGAATAAGGCATTCAATAAAATGTCAAATTTTGCTCTGTAGCCCCCAAGTTGCTTATTCTTTTACCTTGTAAAAAATGTTCTATATTCACTCTCTGTATTTTTGTCACCTTCAGTGGGCAGGAGGTGGGGGCAGTCATATAAGTTTTTGAAGTTTACTTAAGTTTCCCCGAGTTGCAGTTTGCTTGGGAGTAGATTTGCTATTTAATTAAACTACCACCACAGCAAAAGAATACAATCATTTAATATGACAGGTAATTTGCTCCCAAGAAAAATGGCCCCTCAGTGTCAGACCAAAGTCTGTCTACTTCAGCATTCTTTCTTCAAGAGTGACCACAGATGATTTCTGGAAAGCACACAATCAGGCAGGCCTAGGCATAGTTTGTCTCTCATTGTTTGCACTTGAAATCATCTTTTCTCTGACCCTTATATACTACAATCATTAACAGGCATTAATCAATTATATCTTTCTGAGAGTGATGGCCCCATAAAAATCTAGTGGGGGGAAAATTGGAGTTTTCCCTGGCCTTTTTTTCTGCAAGGCTTATTTTTGTTGCCAGAAAAATTGGATTATTTCCTAATATTTGATTTTCAACTGAAGCATAAATTAAGGTGCAGAAACAATTATTGCCAAAAAAAATCAACTAAAATTTTAAAGTGTGGCAAATCTTTATTTATTTTACAGTATTTATTAACCAGTCCCAATTCCAAAGATTTTTTTTGGGGGGGGGGGAAGTATAACATTAAAAAAAGATAAAATCAAAACCGTAATAATGAATAAGTAAATGTAAATACCCCCCCAAAAAAAGAATCATAGCAAGCAAAGATAAAGCCCCAGATGGCTGCACACAGTCAATCATTTGGAATTAGAAGCACATTGTCATAAAACAGCTTTAACTTGTTTATGCAACTGTAGCAATTTAGAAGTTGCACAAAGTTCTAGAAGAGGAGAGTATTCCAAAAGGTGTGTGGGGGGGGGCTGTTACAGAGATGGTTGCCATTCATTCATGCCCTGTGGACGTCATGACAGGAAGAACTTTCTTTAGAAAAAGAAGGAACTGCTGATAGAAAGTATTTCAGATTCAGCAAATGAGACTTATTAGATGTGTATTCATAATCTTGTTCCATCTTTCCACAACTTTCCTTCTGAAAATTAATGTTGTCTGTATCCTGAGTTGTTATTTTTGTTGTTTTGTGTGGTAACCTACAGTTAGATTTACAGTCAAAGACTGGTGGAAACTTAATAATGCAAGTCTTCATCAAGAATCCAAGATTTATTAAGGTAGCATCAAAGAATATAGGCAATTCTAAGCAGGATGAGTCTTTTTTGTAAAATTAGGATGTTCAGGTCTGATAAATTTGGTAATTCCAGTTGTGGAGGGAGTCCTTTAGGTATTGTTCCAGGGGTTCTAATCACAGTTGATATAACAATGGATTTCTTTTTCCGTAAGCGTTTTACTTTGATCTGCAAGTCCCAGTATTTTGTAATTTTTTCCCCAATTTCCTCAATCCTAGCATCAGCCAATATAGCAATATCAATGAAGCAATCTTTCTTCTTTTTGACAAATGTTATATCCAGCACGCTGTGAACAAGATGCATGCCTGTTTGGATTTTAAAGTCCCATAAGATTTTAACCCGCTCTTTTTCCAAAACCTTCTCACTTGACGGTCCCAGTAGTCTCCCCTAATCCATCCTTACTGCTTATTCTTTCTTAAATGCTTTATAAAATTTCTTATGCTCACTGAGTGATCAAGAGGAACCTAATGAGGACATTTTTTGCTTTATAACAACCTGTATCAAACCAAGGTTTACATCTCATATGAAGGAGGCTAGAACTAATTGATAAAACTCTACAGTGAAGGAAAACATTATTTGATCCCCTGCTGATTTTGTACTTTTGCCCACTTACAAAGAAGTGACTGGTCTATAATTTTAATGATAGGTTTATTTTAACAGTGAGAGAAGAATAACAACAACAAGAAATCAAAAAATGCATTTCAAAAAAATTATAAATTGATTTGCATTTTAATGAGTGAAATAAGTATTTGATCCCCTACCAATCAGCAAGATTTCTGGCTCCCAGGTGTCTTTTATAAAGGTAACGAGCTGAGATTAGGAGCACTCTCTTAAAGGGAATGCTCCTAATCTCAGCTTGTTATCTGTATAAAAGACACCTGTCCACAGAAGCAATCAATCAGATTCCAAACTCTCCATCATGGCCTAGACCAAAGAGCTGTCCAAGGATGTCAGGGACAAGATTGTAGACCTAGAGAAGGCTGGAATGGGCTACAAAACTATTGCCAAGCAGCCTTGTGAGAAGGTGATAACAGTTGATGCGATTATTCGCAAATGGAAGAAACACAAAATAACTGTCAGTTTCCCTTGGTCTGGGGCTCCATGCAAGATCTCATTTTGTGGAGTTTCAGTGATCATGAGAATGGTGAGGAATTAACCTAGAACTACACGGGAAGATCTTGTCAATGATCTCAAGGCAGCTGGGACCATAGTCACCAAGAAAACAATTGGTAACACACTATGCCGTGAAGGACTAAAATCCTGCAGCACCTGCAAGATCCCCCTGCTCAAGAAAGCACATGTACAGGCCCATCTGAAGTTTGCCATTGAACATCTGAATAATTCAGAGGAGAACTAGGTGAAAGTGTTGTGGTCAGATGAGACAAAAATCGAGCTCTTTGGCATCAACTCAATATGCCATGTTTGGAGGAGGAGGAATGCTGCTATGACCCCAAGAACACCATCTCCACCATCAAACATGGAGGTGGAAACATGCATTGGGAGTGTTTTTCTGCTAAGGGAACAGGACAACTTCACTGCATCAAAGGGACGACGGACGGGACCATCTACTGTCAAATCTTGGGTGACAAACTCCTTCCCTCATCAAGGGCAATGAAAATGGTTCGTGGATGGGTATTCCAGCATGACAGTGACCCAAAACACATGGCCAAGGCAACAAAGGAATGGCTCAAGAAGAAGCATATTAAGGTCCTGGCCACTCTCCAGACCTTAATCCCATAAAAAATCTGTGGAGACGGCTGAAGGTTCGAGCTGTCAAATGTCAGCCTCGAAACCTTAATGACTTGGAGAGGATCTGGAGAAGGACAAAATCCTTCCTGAGATGTGTGCAAACCTAGTGGCCAGCTACAAGAAACGTCTCACCTCTATGATTGCCAACAGAGGTTTTGCCACCAGCTACTAAGTCATGTTTTTCGAAGGGGTCAAATACTTATTTTACTCATTAAAATGCAAATACATGTATAACTTTTGAAATGGGCTTTTCTGGATTTTTTTGTTGTTATTCTGTCTCTCACTGTTAAAATAAACCTACCATTAAAATTATAGACTGATCATTTCTTTGTCAGTAGGCAAACATACAAAATCAGCAGGGGATCAAATACCGTAAATGCCGGCATACAAGGCGACCCGGCGTATAAGACGACCCCCGTCTTTATAGCCAGGCTGCATTCCTAGAACGTCGTCTTATACGCCGGAAACTACCAGTAGAAGTAACAATTAAGCATATTTTAAAATATTCAGCTAGCAATTATATATTTCTGAATGAAGTATATTTTTACTTTTAAATACTTGTATTTTCAACAAGTAAACCATGATATGAATGATATAATCTAAAATATAATAAAATGATTGCATATCTATAAAGATAGATTTAAATATAAGTTCTTTCCCCCATCTGTTTATGTGCATGTAAGATTTTCCTCTGATTCACAATTCTATTGAAGTTCCAACTGAGCTGAGATCTAATAAAGTGATCATGTATAACACAATTACACTGAAGATAGAAGTGTTATATCTACTGTTGATTTACAGAGTAAATCCGTCTTCTGTATACTAAATTTCCAATAATATATAAATTGTATCTCAACCTGTTTGCTGCTTGCAATTTCCCCTAGAAAATTGCACCTGAAAGTTGGAAGCATGAATCTTTTGCAATGTGTTTCCAAATATAATAAGTAGTATTTTATTAATAATGCTCTTCATGTTTTTTTATCTATCCGTGAAACATTTCTGTTCTGTAGGTGTTATTGTTGTTTTTCTTTTTACTTAATTGATTACTTTATTTCTCTCCACATCTTCTGGCAGCCTTTTCCCTATAAAAGGACCAGTCTTTTTAAGGTAGAAAAAAATTAAATTCTTTATATTGAGTGCTTTACTTGCATGGACCTAACATGTAGAACAAATGCTGATCATTCTTCTCTCGTGTTTAATGTTTCTCTAACATGACTACAAATTAGATTTTACATTAAACTCATTTTGTTGAACATATTAAATTATAGAATTGCAGTTCTAATAATTCATTAAAATTCCCCTAAACATTAATATAGCTCTTTCTTTTTTGAAACAACAGATTAGAATTCGAGAGACAACAAAGAGAAGAACTAGAAAAATTAGAAAGTAAAAGGTAACTTATATTAATATTTCTTTGTAAATTTATATGGTTGATAAGTGATAAGAGAGTTTTTGATTTTGCTAGAATATTTTAATGTTAAAGCTTAGGGATTGAAAATAAGCCGATTTCATTCTGTATTATTAACTTTCTAACAGTTTTCTTTTAGAGAGGTCTAATGGCATTTATGTTGTAATTCAGTCTGATTTTATTTGAGCTTTGTAATAATCATAGGAACAGATTTCCATAGCCTCTTAATGTCTTATCAGTGGTTTAGAGATGAAGTCTAATACATAAGATTACCTGGACCCTTGTCCCGATGGAGCAATTGAGAACATTTTGCATATATTATTGCAGTGTCCTTTCTTTCAAACATAAACTTTTGATCTATTTGTGCACCCATTAACCTCATGTTTAGGTTAGTCCAATGAGTACACTTCTCTGATTTTGTTAGCAGACAGTTTATAGAAATCTTCAGAAGGGTTGCTAACTTTTGTTTGATTATAATTGCTACGAGAAGACTTTGATTTCATATTAACATTGCCTGATTTTTGGAAAGTCTATAATTCTATTACTTTCCTGGACTTTCTCCCACTCTTTTATTTTTATTTAATTGAGTTATAATGCATTTGATATTTTGCTCTTTGAGCATAAGAAAATTTTAACATCTTTTCTGGAGAACAAAGACAACGTAATTCCATTAGGACAATGTTACTTCTATGATCACAGTAGAAAATCAATTAAGAGAACATAATTACATCATAAAGACTAAATCTACAGAAAATATTGCTTCAGGGATATGTAACTTTCATTCCCATAATTTTGAATCCCATATGTATTAATATGGTTAATATTTATTTTAAAACACATGAGCTTATGATTTATTCAGTCATGGAATGGGATCAAAATCTGCAGTGGCAGCCATGGAAGTGTGATCCATGCCCACTCCTTTTACACATGCATACACTGTACCTGCTAACTTTGCAGATGTTGACCCCTCTTTCAAATGTCACTGATTCTGCAAAAGTCTCCCACAAAAATTATTTAAAAAATAGTAATAATAATCAAAGGTATGTTTTCTGTGTAGTCCAAAAATTTGGCGTACACAACCCCAAAAAAATCAGTATTCTAGGCTAAACTGGAAAGTTGAAAAAAAGAAGGTTGTGGAAGAATGCATTGGCAAATCATTATAATTTTATTGCAAAAAAAACCCCAGAGATATTTGTAAATTCACCAGAACATGAACTGTATTTGAGGGAGACTTTACTTGGATCAAAATCATGGAAAGAGATGGCACTATAGAGAATATTGGAAGCGTTTGAATTAAATTCTACATAGGAATGCTTCTGTTGGTAAAACAGAACATTGTGCTATGCGTATTTTCCTGAACATTCATAATAAAGGTTTTAAAATATATATTAAATATTATGGTAATTTCTACATTTATATGTAGAATGTTATATATACTGTATTTATTTAAAACATTTAAAACATTTATATAGCCATCCATCTTATAACAAATTCTGGGTGGCTCCCAATCAGAAATTAAAATAATATAAAATCATATTAAAACTAAAAATCACATTAGAAACAAAAACCAAGTCAAGCTTCCAATATGTAGTCATCTCATCCCAGGTCTTCAGAGCTTTATGGAAGGCTAGGGAGGTAGAGGCCTACCAAGCTTCAGGGGGACTAATGCAAGGGCTGCCATGGAAAAAGCACACCTTCTACTTTCTATAAGATGTCTTATTACTAGGAGGCTGCCTGTCCTATCTGACCTGGTATGATGGGTAGATACCCTTGGGGAAACATGGATAACTGATAACATGGCCCTGCTTTAAAGATGATGACCAGCATCTTGAATTGCATCCCGAAAGAAACAGGAGGTTGGTGCAGCTCGCACAACAGAGGTGTTACATGGACAAACCTAAGAGGACCCATGATTGTGCATGCTGCTGCATTCTAGACCAGTTATAGTTTCTGGTGATATTCAAGGGCAGCATTGCATAAATCCAAACGGGAGGTGACCAAGGCATAAATAACTGTGAGCATGGCCTCCCAGTCCAGGAAAGGGTACAATTGGTGCACTAGACGACTGTGCAAAGCCCCCCTAACCACAGCTAGTACCTGCTCCTCAAGCAGGAGCCTTGAGTCCAAGAGGACTCCCCAATTGTGTACCAGCTTAGTCCATGGAAATGCCACACTATACAGAGTCAAAGATGAATTATATAATTATTTTAATCATCAAGGGTTGTTTCTGAATAATTCCACTGAGAAATATAATTCTCCAATATTATTCTTCAAATATAAGGGAATGTTATATTTTTAGGTAACAGTCATTAGGTATATCTTTAGATAAATGAAATCTTTTTCGTTAAAATATTTTAGGAAACTCATAGAAGAAATGGAGGAGAAACAAAAAACTAACAAGGCTGAATTAGAAAGAATGCAACAAGAAGTAGAATCACAACGTAAAGAAACTGAAATAGTTCAGCTAGAAATCCGAAAACAAGAGGAGAATCTTAAGAAGAAAAGCTTTCACATAGAAAACAGGATGAAAGATTTATTGGCAGAAAAAGAAAAATTTGAAGAAGAGAGATTACGGGAACAGCAAGAAATAGAGCTTCAGAAAAAGAAACAAGAAGAAGAAATTTTTGGTAGCGTTAAAGAAGAACTTCAGCGATTACAAGAGCTTAATCAAAATGAAAAAGTAGAGAAAATGCAGATTTTTCACGAACTGGAAAAGCTTAAGAAGGAAAAAGAAGAACAGTATTTGAAATTAGAAGTGGAGAAAAAGAGATTGGAAGCTCAGGAAAGAGAACAGGCATTGCTGGTGGCAAATCTAGAGGAACAACTTAGAGACAAACAAATCATGATACAGCTGCTAAAAAGAGGGGATCTGCAACGAGTTGAAGAAGAGAAGAAGAACCTAGAAGACATCAGAGAATCTCTCTTACGAGTCAAAGAAGCTAGATCTGAAGCAGAGGAGGATTGTGAAGAGTTAGAAAAGGTGCAATGCAACTTCATGGATTTTAAGAGAAAACAACTAGAACAATTGACTAGTTTAGAGAGAGATTTGGTTCAAGAAAGAAATCATCTAGAAATACAGAAAATTGAAGAGCAAGAAAATCTGGATCATTTAAAACAGGTACACACAGAACATTTAAATTGTGACAAAAACGCACCAGATACTGCATTAACTGTCGAAGAATGTAACAAAATAAGGTCATGTGAATATAGGTTGCACCATAAAGAACAACAACTTCTGTATCTCGTTAATAATCATTTACCAGCTTTGCTGGAAGAAAAACAAAGAGCTTCTGAAGTTTTAGACAGAGGCTTGCAAAGCTTGGACAATACACTTTATGAGGTTGAAAAAGAAATGGAAGAAAAAGAGGAACAGCTTGCCCAATACAGAGCTAGTGCCAGTGAGCTGCAGCAGCTTCAAGAAACATTTGAATTCACGGCCAACGTAGCTCGTCAAGAAGAAAAGGTTTGGAAAAAAGAGAAAGAGATTCTCGAATCAAGGCAAAAACAGCAGCGGGAGGCACTGGAACAAGCAGTTGCTAAGTTGGAAAGGCGGCATTCTGCTTTACAGCGCCATTCTACCCTAGAAATTGAGGAGCAAAAGCAGAAACTTGCAACTTTGAACAACAGTTATAGGGAACACACAGGCTTGCAAGCAACAGTGGAAGCCCAGCAAAAAGCCCTGGAACAAGACCGAGAAAAGTAAGAAGGATCAATTTTGCCCTGAATGTATACACAGGCACATATTCGCATTCCCTGTTGTTTCATTGAAAATAGTTTTAATGCTGTAATATCAGTGGAAATATCCTGATTTTATTGTAACTGTCTTACTTCTCAAGAGGCTCTTGGGTCAATAAAGCAATATAGCATTGCTCCCTATGTAACTGCATCCTAGGAAGAAAAATTCCCTCACCCCATTTATATTTTAAAATCAAAACATGGTAAATATAATAATATTTTCAAGATCATGCATAGTTTTGCCCTCAAACATTTTTAATTCGGTTTCTTGGCTTCTCCTTTATTCACAAAATCATTAAGTTCTTTTGAAGAGGTTTTTTTTTTTCATCCCATTGGAGAAATATATAAAGCCCTGAAATATTATAGAACAAAATCTATTCTTATCTTGACTACTTTGAGGAAATGTGGACTTATGTGAAAAACGATTTATGTAAACGTGGCTAGTCTATTCTACAGAAAAGAATGAGTGATTCCATCTTTATCTCTGAGGTTGAATATTCATACCTGAGTAATGAATATAATCATTTCTGTAGAAAGCACATTCTTGCAAATATCCTGTGGTAGCTTGATGGAACTGAAAGAGCCAAATTCAAAAAAAGTTTTCTATTAATAAAAATTCCTTACTATATTTTAGTGCAGGTTTTAAATGATTGTTTGTGTGTCATGTGCAGTAAGGTGTGCAAATTATTTTGTTTTGCACTGTTGCAAATACGAGATAGTATATATTTCAAAAAATATTAAAAATCCTGAAAGTTAGTTTTCCACACCAAATACTTTTGTTTTTTTATTTAACAATACATAAAATACAATTTTATGGTAGATTTCAATGAGGTATCAACTGACAATAGACTTTCAGATATACTTAAAAACATCTGCATTCCTCAAGAGGTGAAATGCTTTAAATAACATCTTAATTTATATCTGCTGTAATTTAAATACCCTATTTTGACTTTTGCCAGTTCCTGTAAAGTGATTGAAATCATGATTTTAATTCTAAATAAAGCAACTTTGACGGATGTTACTTATGATCTGAGACTTGCAGATAACTATCTTTTAACGAGCTAAGATATTTGAAAGTTGCTACTAATTGTTAGTGTATCTAATATATTCACATCCAAATGTAGTTCCCTGTTGACAAATAATTATTTGATATTTAAGCAGTTTGAATGCCTCTTTTTGTTAATAAATTTATGTATTGAAGAAATGTCCTCATCCAGTAACATTTTAATCTGTTTGTACAGTATTGGCTCTAGTCTTGTTTCTGTCAATTTATACTTAAACATGCTTTGAAACAATACACTAAAAGTAATGCAAAAAAAAGTATCTGCTTAAGACAGTATAAGCATTTTACAGGCAATTTATTTTTGCCTGCTGGCACCTTTCCTACTCAACTCATCTTATTTGTGGTAAGGACTGTTGTATAACCCCTTAATTTCGCAGCTAAGTTTGAGACATCCTACTGCGTTGAAGAATCTTAAAGAATATGTATTGAACTTTCTTGACAGTTTGGATTTGCAGATACAGCAGTTAAAACAGAAAATATATGAAGGTGATAGAGTTGAAAAGGGATATCCTGGAGCTGTAGAAGAGAGGCTGACTCATAATAGTGCCCCTTCTAACATTGCAAAATCTCAAGCTCATTTTATGCCATTGGTTGATGACAGGTAAGTATATCCAGTTTTCTACTTTAGACTACATTTACTTCTAAAGTATTTTTAGATTATTAAAATATTATTCCTAGAATGGTTACAAGCACAGTAATATGGCATGGCAGATTGGCTTTAAAAAATTGAGATGTTTCCCAAAGAAAAATTTGAACTGGATTTGAACTGAAACATTTAAAATTGTGCCCGGAAACTCGTACAATTTTCTGATAATCTTTTTATTTTCAACACTTGGGAAATGTTGTGATTCTGCCTGCCTGCTCACCATGTGTGCCTTGTAGCCTTCTAATGCTACAGGCACTGATTTTGCCCCAAAGCAACATTCATATAACAGGACAAACACTCTGCTTGCATGCAGTATTTGCTTGGGTTTAATATTTTGGGTGATTCTGGCTCCATCTTTATTTTCTATTCTGAATAAAATCTGGACAAATGCAACCAGACTGTGTCTCCCTTTCCTGTTGCCATTTGTCTCCTTCCTTCCTTCCTTCCTTCCTTCCTTCCTTCCTTCCTTCCTTCCTTCCTTCCTTCCTTCCTTCCTTCCTTCCTTCCTTCCTTCCTTCCTTCCTTCCTTCTTTCCTTCCTCAAGAGCCAGAGCTCTGCATATAGTATTGATCTCTGTCTACCCACTTTTCCACCCTATGGCCATCCAGAAATTTGCAACCTCAAAGTTACATACTGCCTCCCCAGCGGGTCATAACCTACAGTTTGAGAACACTTGGTTTACTGCCATCTAATCAAGGGCATATGAAATATCCCCTAATAAATAAAGAGCTAAACCTTTTCATTCCTCCTCTCTATCAACTATAAGATAATGCTGTCTCTTTTTATTATAAATGAGTAAATCTCACAATGGGAATCTGTGCTGCCTGCAGTCTTGTTGCTGTTGAAAACAATACAAAAGTAAATCCCCTTTTGAATGTTAATGGAGGATTGGTATTGACAGCTCTCACTATATGCTTTAACCTAATAGGGGAATTGACTATTACCAATTTTTTTTGCTGACTACCATTAATAATTGTTGTAAACTTAAGCTGTTTACAAGTGTAAGTTGTTTTTGCTGTAGTTTTAGAGACATCATGAGTTTTATATCCCAGGCAGGTAACAATACATTAATGCCATAAATCTGCTAGTTATTAAACTACAATCATCATGTCCTATCCCTAAACACCAAAAGCATTGAGATCAATATCTGGTTTAGTTTTATATTCTACATTACCAGAATAGCAGTGTTCCAATTTCTAATGAATTATTTCTTGTTAATCTGCGATGTTTAATATTTCTAGAATAAATACCTTTATTGAAGAAGAAGTTCAAAGACGCCTTCAAAATATTCAGTACAGCTCTGGAGAAAACAGTATCAGTCTCTTACAGTCTACAGAAAGCACAAGGGTAAGAAAATACAATTGTTGATTATAAAGTTTAAAATCACTTCTTTCATTTTCTCCAGAGAGTTGATGTAATATAGTAATATTAGTAAAGTTGGAAGGGACCTTGGAGGTCATCTAGTCCAACCCCCTGCTCGGGCAGGAAACCCTAAACCATTTCGGACAAATGGCTGTCCAGTCTCTTCTTAAAAACTTCCAGTGTTGGAGCATTTACTGCTTCTGGAGGCAAGCTGTTCCACTGATTAATTGTTCTCACTGTCAGGAAGTTTCTCATGTAAGAAAGCAAAATTACACCTTATAAATGAAAGATTGTCATGGTGGATGATGAATATAATGTAATCTTGATGATGACAATAACAGTAATGCTTCATATCAAAATACATGGTAATTTAGAAATAATAAGATCATTTCTTGATTTTTACTTAGTATGCTGACAATTAAATTTTGTGTGTGGGGTCTGTGTGTTTGTATGAGTATTTAAACAGGGAACTTATTCTCAATTTGGTCTTGAAAATCTATTTTAATGTAGCTTATGTTATCTGATCTCTGAAAATCTAAGAAACATCCTTGTGTATATATGCTGTGATAGTATATATATTGTTATAGTTACCCTCACCTTCTCCCAAAAGTGTAAGGCTCCAAGGCCATTATGCACATTGGCAGAAGAAAGAGATATAAGAATTGAAACTTCTTTCTTGCATTTTACAATTTGCAATTGCTAGATTTACAACTTTTTTAGGTGTTGCACTGAACATAGTTATTGAAGTTTTGTATCCAGGAATGACGGACCTGTGAGCCTTCCCTTCTAATATCAGCCAAAAAAAACTTGATCATAAATAATATTAGCTAATATATAGCTAAATGTCAATACACAGCAATAAATATACTGCTAAAACACTGGGCACAAATTGCATGAGACTGAAAAAATAGGAGCATCCATAGTCTGGGAGTGCAGTACCAATGGAGGGGCCTCATTTACGAAGGATTGTAAGATGGGGGCAGGACTAATGAGATGAGTTTACTACTCTATTGCCAGTCTGAATATATGACCAGCATTCAGTTTTATTATTTAGAAGGTCATTACTCATTTTCCTAGATCTTTTCAATTTCATTCACCCCCAAGATATACTAACTAGTTAATTGTTATTATGAATAATATGTCCTCCTCAGCATATCATTGCCAAGACTTATGAGTAAGTATCTTCCTATAAATAGGATTGTGCTAAAGTAGGCATATATTCACACATATTTCTGATTTAGGACTATGTGTGGTATATTTGGAGTCCTGCATACCTCATTTGTACACAGAGGTTTTTTTGTTTTCTTTTTCACAGGCTGAAGGTCAGGATTAGTAAACTGAAATATGTAATTGCTTGGTGATACATTTCCATCTTCCTGTTAAGCCAGTAAAGAAACTTCATCTGACGATGTCAAATATTTAACTTATAAATATAATGGATTAATTATGTATTGTTTTGTACTTTTGAGACATTTTAGGCATTTAAAAAGTGAATACAGTTAGTCCTTGACTTAGTGATCGGAGCTTATGTCATTATGCAGTGTAGTCGATAAATTAGTCATGCTTGATTTTACAACTTTTTTTTTTTTTGCTATGGTCAAATAAGTGAATCAGAATGGTCCTTAAATTGGTCACACAGTCATAAAACTAATCACATAGTTGTTAATCTGGCTTTCCCTGTCGGCTTTGGTTTCCTCATGGGAAGGTTGCAAATAGCAAACATGTCACCCAGGGAATGCTGCAAATATCATAAATACATGCTGGTTTCTAAGCACTCAAATTTGGATCCCTTGACTGTCGGGATGCTGTGACAGTCTGTAAGTGCGAGGATCTGTCCTAAGTCACTTTTTTCAGCGCCATCATAACTTCAAATGGTCATTAAGCAAATAATCACATGTCAAGTACTATCTCTATATGGCAAACCTAATAATAATAATAGTAGTAGTAGTAGTAGTAATAGTAATAATAAAGTTGGAAGGGACCTTGGAGGTCATCTAGTCCAACCCCCTGCTCAGGCAAGAAACCCCATACCATTTCAGACAAATGGCTGTCCAGTCTCTTCTTAAAAACTTTCAGTGTTGGAGCATTCACCGCTTCTGGAGGCAGGTTGTTCCACTGATTAATTGTTCTAACTGTCAGAAAGTTTGTCCTTGGTTCTAGGTTGCTTCGCTCTTTGGTTAGTTTCCATCCATTGCTTCTTGTTTGCCTTCAGGTGTTATCATGTCCCCCTCGTCCTTCTCTTCATTAAACTAGACATACCCAATTCTAGCAACCATTCCTTATATGTTTTAGCCTCCAGTCCCCTAATCATCTTTGTTGCTCTTCTCTGTACTCTTTCTAGAATCTCAACATCTTTTTTACATCGTGGAGACCAAAACTGAATGCAGTGTTCCAAATGTGGCCTTACCAAGGCATTGTAAAGTGGTATTAACTTCACGTGATCTTGATTCTATCCCTCTGTTAATGCAGCCTAGCACTGTGTTGGCATTTTTGGCAGCTTAAGTACATTGCTGGCTCATATTTAAGTGATTGTCCACTAGGATCTGAGATCCCTCTCACAGTTACTACTATTGAGCAAGGTACCTCCTATACCAGGGGTAGGCAACCTTGGCTCTTTTATGATTTGTGGACTTCAACTCCCAGAATTCCTGAGACAGCATGGCTCAGCTTGGAAACTCTTCCTTTCCACTTAGCATGGCTGGCTCAGGAATTCTGGGAGTTGAAGTCCACGAGTCATAAAAGAGCCAAGGTTGCCTACCCCTGTCCTATACTATACCTGTACATTTGTTATTATTCTTATTCTGACAATCCCTAAATGTAGAACCTTATTTTTTTCACCGCTGAATTTCATTTTGTTAGATAGCGCCGTGTTCAAATCTGTCAAGATCCTTCTGTATCTTAAGCCTGTCTTTTGGAGGGTTGGCTATTCCTGCCAGCTTGGTGTCATCTGCAAATTTGATGAGTTCCCCATCTATCCCCTCATCCAAATAATTGATGAAGATGTTGAAGAGCACTGGGCCCAGAACAGAGCCCTGGGGCACCCCACTACCCTCCATGTAGATGCAGTTCCATTGAGGACTACATGCTGAGTATGGCTGATCAGCCAGCTATGAATCCATCTGGTGGCGATGCTGTCTAATCCACATTTTTCTATCTTATCAAGTAGTAGGTTGTGATCTACTTTATCAAATGCCTTACTGACGTCCAAATAAATTATATCCACAGCATTTCTCTGGTACACTAATTTTGTCACTTGTCAAAGAATGCGATAAGATTTGTCTGGCATGATCTGTTTTTGACAAACCCATGTTAGTAATTATTCAAATTATTAAATATTAGAAACTGCAATTACTAGGTAGCTAGTGTATTTTCTCTTGTCTAATTCTACAAATTGTAAGACTACTTTAATATCCCTAGTTTAGGTTATATTGCCTTTTATTGATAATGTACTAGTGAACTGAGCTACAGTATTTGTTATTTTCCTTTGTGCAGCTTTTTAAAAAAATGGACATTTTGCTTTTTAGGATAATGAGAAGTTTCATAATGGTGCTGTTCAACGCAAGTTGAAGTATGAGGTAAGTTATAGCTTGTCAGCTTGAAGAAGTGCTAATATTAAATTATGGCATGCTCTCTAATTAAATTTCTTAACATTTCCACAGCATAATTATAATTCTATATTCCAGCAAGATTAATGGCGGTGGGAAAAGCCTTAAAATTAAATCTTCTAATGTGGTAAAGATTTGGGTAGTTGTGATTGTGGGAATAATATACTAATATTGATGCTGCAACAGTATCCCTTTCATATGTTTTCAGATAGGAACTAAGTTTATTGTTAGAAATAACTAATTACAAACTAGTAGTAATACTGCACAGAAAATTACCAAATTCCAGTTATACCCATGGATTGAGAGAGGTCATTGTTCTAATCAAGAGGTTAGATCCTGAAAGCAAGACAAGTGAAGGTTCAACAAGACAATAGAATTAGAACATAATGTAGAAATATTATGTGCAGCATTGTAGATGTTTTTCTGCTAGCGGCACATCTATTAAATGGAAGGGGAATGATTTGCAATTTCCCATTTGCCTTCAAAATCTCAAGAGTGGAATCTAGCTCAGCATGCTACAATGGGAAAGGATGAAGAACAAGTCTCATGGTGCAAGCAAAAGTGTGTTCTCACAATGTTGGATATAATTCATCCCTACTTACAACAAAACATAATCAGTTTCTTGCCAATGGATATTATGTACCCTGTTCCAAATAAAAATACAGTAAATATTTACCAAAATATTTTCCTAATTATTTTTAAAAATTTGGAATTAGACGATACAGTCCTAGTTCATAAGGTCAGTTGGAACACTGTTCTAATTTAAGGGTATTGAGTGATCCTACAGAAAAGAAATGGATACTGTTCTAAATGCAAGATGATGGAAAAGAAGAATCATGGCTTTTCTTTTTGAATCAGATCCTGTTCAACATAATTTGATTTTTGCTATTTAATACAATCATGCTTAAAATGACAAAATCCACATCTAGAAATTTAAATTTGAGTAGCTTTCCTATTAAATATACAAAAGCACTTTTTTTTTTACATTTTAAACAGAAAAGAGAGCCTTGGCTGTCCTTTCATGGCTTTCTGACATTGTCTAATGATGACAGCAAATATAACCAGGCTGGAGAAGACACAAGGGTATCAAGAATCAGTAGACAGGACAAAGCCATAGGAACATTTAGCCCTTTCTCAAGGACAATTCAGGATCTTGGTATGACTCAAGAAAATACAAATCAAGAGAAAGAGATAGAACAAGAGTATGTCAGCTGGAGATATCCTGATGGATGTGATTGGAATCAACCCAAAGACATTAAAAGCAAGAAAACTTATTCTGACAATCCCACAAAATCAGTTTCTGACAGATCTGGAATGTTTGATTTGTTTGGTAAAAAATCAACATTTCTTCATTCTAGAAACAAAAGTCTTCTCGGTAATCATTGGGAACATAAGAACATAGAAACAGAGTTTGATTCATTTAGTTACCCCCACATGCCAACTTCAGAGCCCATATTTTCTTCTGAAGTTCAGCCTGGTGCTTCCCATTTTTGGTCTCTCCAAAAATACTGTAACAGAATTTCTCAAATAAATCAGCAGACTTCAGACAAGACGTTGGATGAAAAAGCAACAAATGAAATCAAAACACAACTACCCGAATCACTTATTGGATCAAAACAGAATTATGGGCTGGGACGTCTTTTTAACTTATTCTGCAATTCTTACCGTGGTTTCATTTGTCAAGAATTTAGAAATGGTTGGTTTTCTAAATGGATCAAAGATCTAGTCAGTGTCTATCACAAAAATGAGAAATGCACTCGACTGACATCATTTATTAAAAGCTGTCCAGTTATTAAAGATGTACAATTAAATCTGAGTTTAGGTTTGAAGGTAAATAGTGCAAGCCTTGGCCCAGGAAGGCCTTTAGAAAAAGAAGATACCATGAATTACTTATCATCACAAATCTCAATTGATATGCATACAGTAAATCATGCTGCAGAATCTAGTAACCTTTGCAGAAATGATACATTAATGAGTAGCCTGGTGCTTAGGCAAAAATTTGTGGACTTTTCAGAGGATCTTCTGAAATTACAAGAATATTCTTTGGAAGAATTGCTACAATACTTGACCTCAGCCTTGCCAGAAATTTGTGCCAAGACAAATGAATTAAAAAGAATATACTGGATTGCAGTGGGAAACCATAAAAAATCTGGACCGGAGCCTGCTTGCTTGCTTTTATATGCTTCTGTCTTGTATGCCATTATTCCATCAACCAATCAGTTAGAAAGCAATCAGAACTCTTTGGATATTTTTCATGTTTTCTCAATCAGTACTTTAAAAGAAATCCAAATTGGTTATGCTGGACAAAGCATTTCACTTTTGGGTCCCCATGTAGGAAATGAATTGAAACTATTCACCTTTAACAAATACCTTACACAAAGAATGTGCCATGATATACTTAGCAATATGATATCTCCATTAGATCATCCTTGCTTAAATCACCCACTCTTAAATGATGATCTGTTAAAACTTTCTGTTGATTGGAGTTCGGCAGTCACCAACTTAGTTTTGGAAAATAGTGTGTGCCTGTCCTGCAATTTTGAGAGTGACTCAGCTGACCTGCTTTATTTACTCCATGAAAACATGGACATCAACAAACCTTTTTTAGGTGACATTCAGGTAGTGCTCTATACAACAGTGAAACTCGCAGGTGACATCAGATCTCTGGTCCTTACTAATACTCATATTGGTCTTATGAAGGAAAACGGTTCCTTCTGCCTAATATCTAGAGTGCCGCATTGCGTAGACAGTCAGTCACAGTGTGCCCAAATTCAGCTGCACTCTTTAAGTGAACTCAGATGTGTGATTATCCCAGAGAAAGAGAATCTAAGAAAAATCGAGTTGGCATTTTCAAAAGCAGATAAGCTTGGTTCATCCAGTAGTTTACTGGGTCCTTCTCAAGGAGAAAAAAATGCTCAGTTGGAATCTGTTTCATCCTTTCGTCACAACCAACCTAGCAGTCAACCTTGTATCTGGAGACTAATTTTCAGTTCAGATGAAGATGCTGTTAGGCTAATGTTGCATTTGACGGGACAGTTAAATTTAAATTCTCTTTAGAGTTCAAATACAACCTAGTCTTCGGGGGGGGGGGATACACATAAAACAAGTATGTTTCTCTTTTTGTCTCAGTGCCTCTTGGTGAAAATCTGCCAGCGTTTCAGCTTAGAGTAGTTTATAATATCTTAAATATTTGTGATCACTATTCCTAAATACCAGATTCATGCATCAATATGTGCTTTTTAGGTTAATTAAGAAGCACATTCCTCTTCTCTACCTTTTTACTTGTGTGACAAAAAGTTGACTAGAATTATCTACGTAGTTAAAAATATAGGAACTAAATTTAGACTCACTTCCTTACTGCATATATCTTAGATAATTTGCATTTAGAACACTTCCATTCAGACATGAGTTTAAGGTTGAGTTATGATGACAATCAGTTGTGGTACATGTCCATACATCTGCAATAAGGAGAACAGGTTTCAACTAGCAATAAATAAATGGCTTAGTCATAGATCCAGATGAATGTGTGTTCTCTGTCCTTGGCAAAAAAAAAAAAAAAATTAGCTTAAAGACAGCTGCTTGTCTTTGAATATAATCTACCATTTCTCCTTCTCACCACATTTATTGCCCTATTTCCTTTCACTAATAAATTATTGTCTGTTCTGATTGCTTGAAGTCTTTTTCTATGTTATGTTGCCTGCTTTGCAAATTATCAGAAACCATCAATGTCTAGTTTGTTTTTCATGTATAAATGCTGAATTCTGAATATATGCTGCAAATCAAGACTACCTAGCTTAATTGTTCACTTGTTATGTGTGGATTACTGTGTATTGTTTAGAGACTGCCTTAATAATTATTCACTGAACAGTAGTATATATTAACATTTTAAAAACAAACATGTTTTATAGGATAGAAAAATGTATTTAGTTTTTAAGTCTATATATACAGAGATACAGACATTCTTTCTCTAGATAGAAATTGTATTATGAAATTTTTTTTTTATCTTGAAAATTTTTATTTTTTTAAAAAACATACAATCATTTACAATAAAATTTTAAAATAGAGAACCCCCCCCTTACCCTCCCTCCCACCCCCACCCCCCCTCCCTTCACTTCCCAGAGCAGAATACAGGGTTAAGAAAAAAAAAGAAAAAGAAAATTATAATAATTAAAAAAAAGAAAAAAAAAGAGAAAGAAAAAAAAATATCATAATTAACCTTTAACTCCATAACTTATAAAACAATTCTCTATAATATTTGATATTCATTCATAAAATAAATAAAACTTTTTAATTCCATATTTTTTCTGAATATAATCTATCCACCTTCCCCATACAGTAATATATCTTTCTTGTGTATGATCCTTTAAATAAGCAGAAATTTTTGCCATTTCTGCAAAACTAGATACTTTAAATATCCATTCTTCTAAAGTAGGCAAAGAATCTTTCTTCCAATATAGACCTACTAGTAACCTTGCTGCAGTTAATAAATTCAACATCAAAGTAGTTTCTTTTTCATTTAAGTCAACAAAAATACCAAGTAAAAATAGTTGAGGAGTAAACTTTATCTTCTTTCTAAAAATCTTTTGAATGTTCCACCAAATCATAATCCAAAAAGCCTTTACTTTTTTACAATTCCACCAAATATGAAAGTATGTCGCATCATTATTGCCACATCTCCAACATTTGGGCTGTATGTTGGAATACATACAAGATAATTTTTTAGGATCTAAATGCCATCTATAAAACATTTTATAAAAATTTTCTCTCAAATTTTGAGCTTGTGTAAATTTAACATTTCTTATCCAAATTATCTCCCATAAATCCAATGAGATCGGCTCCTGTATATTCTGAGCCCATTTAATCATACAATCTTTAACCAATTCTGTTTCCGAATCTAACTCTAATAAAACATTATATATTCTTTTTATATGAGCCGGACCTTGGTTTTTAATCTGAATAACCAATTGTCT